AAGTTCATTCACCGAGCAGCTCTGGAGGCGAAACCAAAAGTCTCTGTCTCGCTTTTGGCTAGTCCGTCAGTATAAAAGTTGAGTTCGTTGGTAATTTATTTGTTTAAAGTTTCAAATCATTAACTACTATGCTAAATTTTAAAGAACAGAAAGGGAATGCAGGAGTACAGCAGCCTCAAACTTAACTCGATGGCGCAGAATTTACAAACTAGAAATGACGTAAATTAGTGTTTATCGAGATTAAAACTCCATTAATAAGGACCTATATACTGTGCGCCTATATACTTTTCTAAATTTTAGGATATTCTGCAGTTCATTTGAGGTTAAGGTTAGTGACGGCGGAATTGTGTGTTCTTGAAATTTCTATCTGTGTAATTTAAAGGCTCTATTAAGTCTCCTTTGATAAAAATAGGCCTACTGATAATTTTAATAATGAATTAATCTTACTTAACAAATAAATAATGGTTTATAACTCCTGAAAAAACAAATTCAATTCGCTTATTTCAAGACGTTGTGCAGAGAACACAACCATGGCCCACTTCACCTAAAATGTTACGTTTTTAAAGAAACATAAAAACTTATAATTTTCCAAAAAAAATTTAATTCTTCAAGGTAAACAGAATGACTGAAAAAGTAAGTAGCGAACATATTTCGATAGTAAATTTTATTCATAATTTCGTAAAGTTATGTAAATAAGACTTAGCCATAAACACTGAATCAGCCCTATGTTCCCAAGAGGAAAAAAAGGAATTAACTAACTAACATAAACACTGAAACAGTAGCCCAGCAGATCTGCCTTCCTGCCCCCTCCCCCTCACACCAATATACTCAATATTGATAAAGAGATGTTAATACATGCATAATTTCCAGAGTTCCTTGGGGCATGCGCAATGTCTAATATTTCGGGAGAGTTCCTATAACTCATCGATCACAGGTCCCGCCGCCAGTGTTTAAGGGCTGATTTTAATTGCCATTTCGTATTTCTCACCTATGCGAGAATGCAATAGTGAGACAGCAGATTTCTAACATTTGTGTTTTGCACTAATTAATTAGTTCATAAAACTTAGGAATAATTACATCGTTTACGTCATACCAAATGGATTGTCAATGTAAATTACATTGATTCTTAACTGTCACATCAAATAGCTCATCGCTTACGACAGATACGGAACAAAACAGGTTCAGTAGACTGGCAAGGTTGAACCTAACTGTAAGACATCGAGAGTAAATTCCAAAGCACATACCAAACACATGGTACAAGTGAGGTAAAAAATAAAGTCTTGTTCTCCAACTTCATATTTCTTTCAAGATCCGAGGTTTCTTATATTAATTAACTAACTAGATGGCTTACTGAACACGAAGGTTCATCACCGAACAAACCAAAGCCCTCCACCGGACCCTGTCCTGGGCCAACAAAA